TTAGTTTGAGTAGTATTGCTCCAAACAGAAGAGCAATAGAATAATTTACTAAAAACTAAGGCATTTATAATAATAATTAGCGCGTGTTTATTAAAAATATTCTTAACGCGGTCATCCTACAATGAGACCAGTCCCCACTTAAAATGTACTGTCTCGGGCTAGCAATTTCTGGGTCACTATCAGAAACCAATGAGACTTGTTTGCTGTCAGGGCAACAGGTAAGCTTTCCTCAGCGACTGCCTTGACAAAGTCAAATTCCTACTTGTGATCAGTTTCAAGTTCAAATTTGCACCCGTACACATAAATGGTGAACCTCTCACAAGCCCATACTAGGGCAAGGGCCTCTGTTAGTTCCTTGTTAATTTGTAAGAAAAATCAGGTGCTGAACCCAATATGTGCATGTACGTTTTCCACTAACTGATTACATGTCATAGAAATATGAGTTCATTGAACATTTTTTTTTATGTTGAGACTTACTGAGCTGAAATTGTTAAGAAATAGAAAGATTATGAAATAAAACTGATAATTTTTAAGGGTATTTTCAAGCAAACAGAACAGCTGGAATTGTTTAAAAGAAATTTTAATATGTTTGAGGATACTGTCCAATTTTTTATCCAAATTCATGACTTTGGTGTCATAAAGCATGGCTGGCAATTTTTTCAAGCAGCCAAAATGAGCTCTACTTGCAGTAGTAATCACTGTTTCACAGTGACTTTACTCAGCATTAAACAAGTAAATGCGGACCCCGTGGAAACAGTTTACTTGGATTTGTTGGGGACGAAAAGAAGGACGAAAATGGGTCTTTCGTCGATTATATAACATTATAGCAACTTTTTTCTTGACAATTAATGTGACCTGCAAGTGTCCACTCTGCTTATAGACAAACACTCTGCTTGCAATATTGCAGAGGAGTGCGCAATCACCATTAAATCATTAGGAAAAGTGAAGTGCGAACTTCGTAAATATTTCTAGTGGGCTTTAATCTTATTTAATCTAAAAAACATGGAATTGTTTTGGAGCTTTACATGACGGGTTCAAGTTTTTGGGATTTGGTTAGTATTATATAGACTCAGCAACTTGTTAAATGATCCAGTATTTATGCAACATTGACTCACCATTCCCTCGTTGATCTTTAAAAAACGCCTCTCTCTCCAATTCCCACAACTCTTTCAATATAGCTCCGCTCCCTGGTTGTTGCTCATCGGCCTCGTTGCAGACCGCCTTTACTGCTTCTTGTCCTTCTTCTGAGCTGCTTATACAGTCAATAAGCTTCGCCAGCTCTTTTGATTGTTCCTCACTGACTGTCAAAGCGGTGGAAGTTCTGAGCCTTTCCGCCTCCCGCCTGTAGTTTTTCCTTTCTCTGCGTACATTTAATGCCCTCGCTTGTTGACTTGCTGGGCTTAGGTGACAAATCCTGACCTTCATAAAATAAACAAAATTTTCCTTTTGAGCATGAATAGTTTAAAGTGCTACTACGACGAAAATTTTTGTTTTTGTTTCCGAGTTTTTTTAACATAAATCTTTTGTATATGTTCAAAATTATACAAATAGCGAAAAATTTGAACGATACTTGCGTACGGGGGCTGGAAATTTCCCACTGAAAAGTGCGTAAATACCGTCCGCCATTACAAAGTTCGCAAAACAATAGCCCGCGAGATCTCCGCAAAGCGGTCGTGCGTTTGACCACGTGATTTATGCACTGTGACGTAGAAACATCAACCAAAAGATTCGCATTTGGGAAAAGTTTGTGAGTTTAGAGCCTTTTAACAAGACGTTTAAGATGTCATCTCCGTCGGATTCCTCTTCCTGCACATCTGAAAGTGATCTAGAAAGTTTTACAGTTGACGAAGTGATTGGGGAATTGTCTGAATTTGCGCCGTACGACGACAGTTGCGAACCCCTTGCTACCGAGGAAGAAGCCGCGGACTACAACGAAAGAGTTCATCGCGAAGAAGAAGAGGAACAACAGTTTCAACGAAGATATTCGGGAGAGGTGCCAGCGAATGAATGGTATGGTATTATCATGGAATGTAGATTTATATTTTTATTTTCCAATTTCAACATACCCGTCGTTAAATCGTGCGCGTGACGAACGCGACTATGTGTTTTGTTTAAGTTTACAATTTCGTTGCTATGTGATTAGCTGTAGTCCTGATTTTATGCGATAGTTTTATTGAAGAGGTCAGACAATTAATAATTTTATACAGACGTATTTTTCTTGTGTTTGACGAATTTTTCACATTATTTTGCAGGTGTTCGTGCTCGAACTGCTCTGTCAGCCTTGTTACAAAAGCGCAGGAGTGCATTTGCTGCAAAGAGATCGATCGCTGCGAAGAGGTCATGGAAGAAGCCATTGGAGACCGGACCGTATGCATAACCCTCCATCCAGGGTTTGAAAGCGTCTGCTTAAACCGCCACGTATTAGAAGTGGCTGCACTGGGCCTAAAAACGCGAGCTGGAAAGTCGTACACAACTGTTCGTGGGCAAAGCAACAAAAGTGATGATGAGTAAGTTGGGGTATTGTTGACTTTGTATCGGAACGATCGAACCTTACATAGCATTGAATAATTGATACATCTAAGCTTATCGCCGTGGACTGATCTCATAGAATCACATTTTTTATTTTCTAAATGGCTTTATTGCCCCAACTGCTTATTTTTAAAAGGAGTATTTATTTATCTCCATCCAATCCCTCCTTGAATTAACAGTGATCTCATTTCTCTAACTAGATTCCTGAGGTCTGTGGCCTATCGCCAATTTACAAGACTGCTGTGGAGTTATATTGGTAGTTCCAGGCGATACCCCTTGCCCTGTTGTGCCTACAATAAAATCAGGAAACAATTTCCGAGTCAAAATGGCCATTATCGTGGATTCGAAGATGAAGAAAATGAATAATAAATGCACTGTTTGTTCTTGAAGAGTGTCATGTATGCCATTGGGGCCAAGAAGGACCTACAGTAGTTGCTTGAATACTTGTCCGTAAGCACTTAATTTTATGGGCCAAACTTCAGAATTCTCAGCCACTTACTCGCTTTTTGTTGAATGACAAACTTGCCCACTGTGTGAAGCCCTGTTCTTCTAGCGTTCAGTTAAACTCAAGTTTAGTGGCTGGGAATTCTGATGTTGCTCCAATTTTCATGTACACAAGTAATAAAAATTAAATCGAATTCAGCCTGAATTTAATTACAGTTTTAATGTATCGTTTCTTTCTTTTCACTCGGCTCACAGAGCACTGCAAAACTTAATAGCAGGTTACCTGCTGGAAACTTTCCTAGCAGGTCTGGTTGACTCTTCCAGACTTTTGTCTGGCTACAGTTTCTGCAGAAACTTTCTACGGTTAACAAGGTACCTGTCTGTGATACAGAAAGTTTGGGTTTTGAAAAGAAGCACAAGTGGCAGAACTGAAACAAAAGAAGAAGTTTGCAAAGGAAAACAATTCCCTTCGGTTCCTCTCGAATGTTTTTTCCTTGTAGATCCAACCTGTAAAAAATGATTGAAAGGAAATACTCATTTAATCAGGGTGTTGCCAGTTTTTCAACTTGTTGTAAACCTGGCTAATTGCGGGTTGGGATTTTATTCTCACATACATCCTGAAAAATGCTTTTCTATAATAATTCTGTTGATTGCACACATGACAACTTTGAGCCTTTAAGCTACCTAGCCCACCCCAACGATGCATAATTTATTACAAGTGGTTGAGTGGACAAACCAAACATTTTTAGGCCTGGGACTTCCAGTCTATGGGCTGGCTATGCCTCTTCTTTTTTTTTTTTTTTGCAATTCTTATCTGAGTAAATTAAAAAACAAATTTCATGTACTCTTGTTTCTAAATAGATCCTCTCATACTGGAAGTTAGTTTTAGGCCTAAATCACTTCCCAGAGGATACTTAGAGCTAAGATGTTAAAATGCAATAAATTTTGCATCTTTGTACCTTGGGTTCTGATGAGTCTTCACCGAGTCATCATCTTCCTTTAGTTTTTTATATGCATCTTCGATTTCTTCAGGACTCCATGTAGGGTCTTCATCACACTCAAACTCCTCATACGCGTCGTCCTGCATTTCCTGCTCATCTTCTGATTCATCCTCTAGCCCTAACTCTGTCTCATTTGTTACTGGCCATGGATCAGTTTGAATAGCTTAAACAAATGGAATTAAAAAAATTCTATCACTATTAAAATTTTAATTATTATTAAATAATCAAATATTGATAAAATATAATAAAAATATAAAGATAGGCAGTTATGCCTATATGACTCATCAACATCAATTATTGTTGACTCACCAGCATTCACCATCAGCAACTGCTTCGGCTCTTGTATGCTCTTAAAGGTTTCAACCCACTGATCTTGATTGGAGATTAACTTACTCTTCAGTCTTGTGACTTTGCCCCTTAACTGAGTCACCTCACTCCTCAGGGTTTTGCATGTTGTGCAATTCCCAGCATGTCCAGTTGGAGTATCCTACAAAAAACAAACTTTCAACATTAATACAGGCTGTAATAACAAGACTTTAGAATTTTTGTGTTTTAGTATTGTTGTAAAATAACTGCACATGTAGTTTTCCATTGTTATGATAATACAAAGATGCAAATAAACATTAATTAGAGTTATGCGCCTACCATAGAAACCTGTTCAAGTTCAGGAATCGTTAATGATTCATCAATCTGCATAACTTCATCCATATCCTGCACTTTTTCGATTCCCTGAGCCTCCAGGATCTGCATGGTCTCAGTAACCTCATCAGTGCCTGAAATCCCTTGGGTCTCGAGAGCTGTCTTATCACCAGGAGTACCTAGGACCTCTGAAGCCATCTCAGCATCAACACTTATCTCACCCGTCTCAGTCTCAGGGATGCAGCCCTCCTTTTCAGGATTTACCTCAAGCAAAGAACCCTGACTTGTATTCAGAACACCCTCGACTTCTGGAGACTCCTCAGGGTTGAGATTGGGAGCCCCCATAGTGTCAGCACTCTCCTCAGGTGCAGAACTTCCTTTCAAAGAGATCACCTCTTCTTCAGGATTGTCTTCTTCCTCTGTATCCTCATTAGTAGTTTGACCAGCCAGAATTTCATTTAGTAGCTAAAAATGAAAATAGGTACGACCATTTTTTATATCTCCCCTTCAAAACAAGTTTAAATTTGAGCTTTATGTCGATGTTTTCAAAACTAGAAATGGAAGCAAGGTTTAACCACATCTTTGCCTTAAAATGTATGCATCATTTGCAGACAGTGAAAATAGAATTAAAATACAAACGAAAAAAAAAACCCCGCAAACAGTAACTGAACTTATAGAATGTAGAAATCAGACTAAGTCCATTTTTGGTCGTTTTAAAAGACTCGCGTGTAACTCTTAATTTGCTGTAAGATTTCTTGGAGGGAAGTTTGGAGTACTGTCAAATCTCAAAGTAACAGCAAGATAATCTCTCAAAAAATAGAGAGCCGGATTTCTATGTAGCTTCACTTTTTCTAAATTTTACGCTTGAGTGGAAAGGTCTGGGAATTGGGGAATTGACTTCACGTCCACTCAGCGCAAATGCCCGTTTTACTATAACTATGAGAAGAAAGCAGAAAAGTATGAAAACACATGCAACAATATGGGAAGTCCAAATAGTCAGAGCATTCATTACACGAATATTGAACAACGATGCCAGAAAAAATCATGTCACAGGTAAATGGGGAAATAAATATAATGGTGATAAGCACAGCGCAAATACATTGTAATTTCACTCACCGATCGTCGACTCCGCTTTGATAGTGTTTGAGAGGATTTTTTCCAAATGGTTGGAAACGTCCCCTTCTTCAAATTCCTTTTCATGTCTTTCATCGGAAAAGCAAGCGTAAAACAATCCCTTGTAAAATGCTCCGATCACACAGCAAATTTTCCTACTGGGTTGAAATCCTTCCGATGAATGGACACGAACCTTTTCCTCTTTAATCTAACGCTGCCCGAATCAGGAGAATTATGAATAGAAATCCCCAATTCATCGTTCTTTACGTTTCCACAGTCCTGAACAACACAACGTCTACCAGGCATACTTTCGCTTTAAGTCAAAAAAGCGAAGAAAGAACCTTTAAAAGGTTCCAAAAATATCTCGTCGTGCATGCGAAATTAGCCACGTTTGTTTGCCTTGTTTTGGTGCGTTGATGTTTCTACGTCACATCTCGCCCCAACTCCTTCAAATACTACTCCCGGTCATTTTTTGAATCGAGTAATGGCGGCAAGACATTTACGAAAATTGCCGTGCAAATAAACACACTTCCAGATCATATTTGGACTCCAAACTTGGCACGGTAAGTCACCTTTACATACATTTTCGAAATATGTAATAAAAAACAAATTCGCAAATTTGATCGTAGTAGCACTTTAATGTATGAGAACTTACGAAACTAAAACAAAACAATAAATGTTTAAAATAAAAAATACGCCACCAAAATTTATTTAGAAGATGTTTTATACCGGTATATTACTTCAGAGGACTTGCTTGAGATGCGCTACAATGTGTTTCATGGTAGTTCAAGTAAAGTAAAGGAATTTTTTCAATACCTCAAAAATACGAATTGGAAATAAAACTGAAAATTCAAATTACCTTTGGTGAAGCCTCTTGGCGCCTCACTTTGGCACTGTCAACCAGGTCTTTCCTCTTGGCCTGAACAATTTTTTGCTTTTGTCTCACTTGTTGACAATTACTACAAACTCCGTCAAGTTCCCTTTCTGCCTCATCCCGCTGCACGAAACAATCTCTGGGTTTGTGCCACAGTTTGCAAGATTTCGCTCCAACATGTCTCCATGGCCACAGTTCCTCCTTAACAGTTGCAGGTTGCATTCTGACATCTTCCAGGATTTCGTCGAAGTCTTTTATCCCAGGACACATCTGGTAACCGGACGTTTTTCTAAGTTTGTCCAACAGCGCACTTAACTCTGCAAAACTTTCAATGTCAATCTTGCCTTCGGCAATTGTTCTGTGAATAAAAACTTGAAATTTATAATGGCCAGAAGGAGTAAACAGGTAGCGAACAGGCTGAAAGCTGCCAATTGTGTCGTTGAAACTTTTCTGTCTGGATGGAAAAACACACAATAGTGCGCTGCTTGGATGACCACTGACAATTTCTACCTCGCAATGTAGGTTCTCGTCAATCTTAGCGATGTGCTTTTTCAGCTCCTCTAAGATTTGAATCTCATCAAATTTCTTAATTTCTACCCTCTCGGCCTTCTTTTTTCTCTCACTTAAAAGACGTTTAACTGCTTCCTTTGTTTCACTGCATATTGGTATTGCTATTCGAGGGAATTTTTTGGAGACCAAAGTATCATTATCATTATAATCACTCCTCCGTCTTTTTTGCAACTCCATGTTTCCAAATTAAATTTGCCGGCATTTTCCCGTCAACACGTCAACACATCAGTGTGTAGTCCTGGGGACTACCGGAAACTGTTTCCGCATGGTCCGCATAGTTTTAAAAATAACTTTTTTGGAATTAAGATATCCCAAAGGTGTGACTGGGAGTGTCCCTCTCTGTCCTATTATGACTCTTGTTAAAAGCCATACATCCTCCGAAACTCAGACTTCGAGGACCAAAGTATAGAAGACCCTCCATCAGATATTGGCCCACTGTTGTGGTCAAAGTTGTCCAGCTCTGAGAGGGGTGCACCCACTCTGAAAGACGTCCAAGGAATGATAATCTATGGAGATATCTCTGCATTGGACAACAGTAGCCGTGCCCCTTGCTATTTATTTAATACCTAATATGGTATGCAATGTTCGTGTGATAAATGATTAAATTGATATAAATTGATAGTTTTATTTGATTTTAATTAGCTTTGTCTTAGTGTCCCCAATTAGTACTGTAATGTACTAAAATTTTATGACAAATAAAGATTTCATCATCATCATCATATGATCAGAGTTAGAATTGGAGACAAGATGCGAAGGCACTTGCTTGTTAAATGACTCCTCGTCAGTTTCACAACTACCTTGCATATCTAAGTGCAAATCTTCATTTTCCTGATCATTTCAGGTATTAGATCTGCTATAAACCCTTCCATTTGAAAAATTTATTTCTCAAATGATTAAGAATTTTGCAAAATAAAAATTACACAGGCCTATCAAGTGAGATCTGAGCTTTAAGAAAATTGATATCTGAGGTGTCAATTTTCACACCTTTGGTGTTATTTCCGTTTTATTTCGCAGGCTCGAAAATTCCGTAATTCCGTATTTCCTGCTTTCTCTCGATCGCTAGGAATTAAAAAAAAATTGAACTGACATGTTTGTTCATTTACCTTTAAATTTCCGGCAGTAACCAGTAAATTTTTCCCGAGATATAGAGGTGGAAGTTTTTTGTAATGCCCTGTAACTTCAGGTCGCTGCCAAAATTCCAAAATATTCTGGGAATTGCCGGGAATTTAATACATTTTTCCTTAACATTATGTGAATAAACCTGGCAAGTTTCAGCGCGGCATTATAAATCCTCATCTTTTTAGATCTATCTGTTTTCAGTGCGGTGCAACACAGCCGCAAAATTGCACTTAATTTTTATCGGGCTGCGCTGTTTTCTTCATTGCCATCTTGAATTCTTACGAGTAAACCACTGTTGTTAATGTTTGTTGTGACACTGACCCGATTGTAGCATGAAAAGTGGGGAGAAAATACAAGAATCTCTGTTTCAACACATTGCGTGATGTGCTCTCTGTCTCTGTATGGCGTCGTAAACAATGTTTAGCCTTAGCAACGTGCTAATTTGCAGAAATAATAGATCATTTATAGCAGTTCTAATACTTTACGAATCAAATTAATGAAGAATACTGCTGCCTTCATTGTTTCTGAAATAGCATTTGCATGTGGTTTAAATAATGCTCTATTTTGTTCAACAACGGCTTGCACTTCAGATTCGTTTAATTTGGGTAGATTTGTTTGTTTACTTCCAACCAGAGTATCTTCATTACGCCATGGATAATATGGTATAAGCAAGTGGTGAAAGTAGTTTTCAGGCTCTTTTCATTTGTTTGGTGTATGGTAATGCACAACAGCCCTAATTGTCCTGCATTCCATTACTTCCTTAGAGTTGACTAATTTTATTCTTGGAGGTAACTGATTACTAAGGTCAGCATTTGTGTCTAGCCTAACATGTAATTTATTTGCACCATGTGTGAGTATTTCTGGTTGTGCATCATTTGTTTCACTGTTAGTGCTGTATTCTTTATAATATTATGCAGCAAATTAAGCTGAACATAGGCTATCCACAGAATGAATTGTAAGTGGTCTCATTCTGTAGCGTTTAATGATATTTCATTTGCCTAATATCTGTGCCATGATCATCTTATGGGTAAAGTTCTAATTGGCTCTTGGCAACTCTAACTCATTTCTCTGGCAAACCTGTGCTGCCAAAAATTGTTTCAGGGTAGACTTTTCTTAGCCAAAGTTCAGGCATACATCTGTAAACACATTTCTGTGAACTGCCTGTGACTGTGACTGGATCCCACAATGCTTGGGTGATCTCAGACTGCTTTTTGGCCCTTTCTTTCCTTCGATTGAAAAGACTGGGTAGTCTGGTGGTACTTCATAACTGTCATGTAATCCTTTGTCCAGTAGAATTAATGAGTTTGTACATAGTGGTGGTCTTATCAGTAGACAAACTTTCACTCTTAGCTTCGATTAACCATGTGTTTGACTTCTTAACTTTTCTTTTCCTATCTAAGATTAAGTGTTCTTAAGCATTCTCCTACAAATCTTGGATTCCCCGTTTTGAAATTGGCTTAGTGCAAGTTGTATATGCGTACACCGAGGCTTATTAACAGATCTCTGAGTGTTTGAATTGATAACAAATAACTGTTTATTTACCAGTGCTGTTGCCCAGAGTCGATATTTGCTAAATTTCCACTTGTCATTATGGGTTTTACGTAACTGTTCAGTTATCCTTTTTTTGGACAATGCTTTTAGTTGCCCTTTCGTTACTACTTCGCCAGAGTCAATTGAGCTGCCTAAAAAGACAAAACAAACATTTATCTAGAAGCACTATTTCACGGTAAAAGTGAAGGTGACATAAAGAATGTCACATTGTTAAATAAATGTAAATTGGGCAAATAAAAATTCAGTTTTTTTTGCTGGCCGCTTTTCGTTACGGCATATGTACAGGATTGGGATGTTGTCTTTGTGGAGCCCTCCACTTCCTTATGCCATTTTAAGGTCGTCATCAGTCAAAACTTTAAACTTGCTTTACATTGAGGATTCTAGTATCATTTAGTGTGTTTGGGGCAGGTGGTAATGTAAATGTTTTTTAGGTATCACCTTGAGTTGCTTCCAAACTCCCTTTCCGATCCCCTAAATAACTCAAATTAGTACATGAAGGTGGCTTGGCTCCTTTAGGGGGCTTACCATAGTTGCTAATTTTGTTGATTTGTCTTTTTTGGCACTTAGTAACAGATAGACCACAATAGTATTTTACTATGTTAGTCATGGTATTTTTATTGGGTGATTATAAGTCTTCAAGGACGAGGCTTCCTTGTTTCCCCACAGTGTGAGCAAACTAAAGTTATTGATACCTTCTAACAAAAGAAAATAGTGAACTTAATATAAGCAAAGGGTCATTTACCACTATGACTGATTGCATATGGTCCACCTCCAGACTCTGTAAGTCTCAACTGCTAACACCTCTCTTTCTCTATCATATAGCTCATGGAGAGGTTAAACAATTATGGGATTTCAATGGTGCCAGCCATGAAGCCCAAAATCCAGGAAAATATTGGGAGCCACTTCCTGGATCATGCCGATGAGCTTGTGAAGGAGGGGAAAAAGTTTGTGCTTGTTCTGGACAACATTGACTGGGAAGTTAAGGTACATGATATGCGTTCAGGCAACCAGAACAAAAGTGTTCATACTGTCGCAACAAGCATAGTTTTTGATCGTGTGGCCACTGATGATCTTCCTGACAATGGGCCTAAGAAGTGCCTCAGTGATTGTAACATGAAGGAGCTTTTAAAGATTAGTGAACAGGAACAAAGGTGCACAAGAGAACGGTACAATATTTTTCTGGGAAGAATCTTGGTCGAGTTATTCCCTGTATTTCAGTTCCTCAGCGATGTTGTTCCAGTTCGTACACCTTGCCGTTACCAGGCTGAAATGAGTTTTGAGTCAACAGTTGTGCCCCTTCCAGTGTTGATGAAAGATGAAAAGAAGTATGCAGAAGTTGTTGATGTATTGGATCAACTAGAGGTTTGGGTATATTGAAGATTTAGATGTCAAACCAGTTATCTTTTAATAATTTTGAGTTATAAAACAATGAAAGTGAGTTCAAAATTATTTTTCACATGAAATTGATGTTATACAATAAATTGATAGGTGCGTGAGATTTACTCCAGAGCTGGTATATGTGCTGCCCAAGATGAAGAGGGTGTTTTGCCTGTTCCTCCTCCTCCTCCAGTTGCTGCCCCATCCAGGCCTGATCAACCAGGGTCACATGTGCCACCTGTACCTCAACCTGATGATCCTTTGGCAAATATTAAAGTTCCCTGCTTTGGTGATCAGCTCACAAGGGTATGATTGGCAGGAGCTAAAGACTTGTGTGCAGGAAGTCATACTCCACAGGACAGGCTAGACCACCTTTATCCCTTCCGAATTGTGGACTGGCACACAAAAAGTAGCTTTTTAAAGGTAAAAAAATTGGTATTATTGGCCTAAATATTATAGTAGGGCAACCACAAATTGACTTTTCACAATGAAATGTTCATTTTCATAATTTTTCAACCAAAATATGTAACTATGTCATCATTGGTTACCATAGCAAAAAGATGCCTATTTCATAGCATAATTTTTCTTGGTGCTTTAATTTCTTCAACCACCTTTTCTGTTGAGTGAATTTAGGGGGCATTCACCACTCTCACATGTGTGATCAGTTGCGGCTGCCTTTTTCTCAAATCACATTGAATTATAGGGATTTTTTTATGAACAATGGTGTTTGTGCCTGTAATGCACTCCCTCTAATATTATGTCTGTAATGGACTGTAATATGCTCAAGTCCTTGGCAAGCACCATTGTATCCAATCTCTTTAATTGTTGTGTGTCTATCTGTTTTAAGTGAATTTTTTTTTCAGGTCTGTTTAAATTAGATTAGTTACTCCATCAATAGAATGAAATGTCATACCCACTAATGTTCCTATTTTGTTTATTTTATAGGTGATATTTAAGAAACTGTACAAAAATTCTGCATGAGAGCAAGGTACTCTAAGATACTTTAGATAGAAGTTACAACGTCGTAA